TTCGTTTGCTTCAGAGTCTTCCGAAACAGCTAAAATGCTGGATCCAGCTTTCTGAAACAGCTAAACTGGTGGATCCTTCGGGGGGGGGTAGCATCTATATATATATATATACACACACACACTTTTCTGTTCGGACTGGCCCCTCTTTTTCCGTGTTTCATGACTGGCGTCTCCTGAAGCGTGCCCTGGGACCCATGCAAGATGAAAAAATGATTCTGCCAGCGAGTTGAACCGATTGTCGTTTGCGTTGCCCATGGTCCGGTGCACTTCAAGTCCTTGATGGTGTTCCTGGCTTTCCGACTGCGACGGGTGGAGTTCAGAGCAAGTCTTCATCTCACAGCCTGTCAGGCCTCATTCATCATCGTGGTTCGCAATTTCTGCGAGACTCCTGGCGATTGAGAACTCCTCTGTGGCCTGTCCCGACCATGGCCACTGCATGCATAGGCACAGCTCTCTCATCCAAAGCCTGGCTTTGAAAGCCCATACCTTTAAACACGCAAGTGCCTGCGCGAGTCGTCTCGAGGACATGAACGTGCTTGTACCGCCTCGAGCAGCTGCTACAGCATAGCTAGCAAATCGCTCCGCCGGCGTTCCCCCAAGGTCGCGATGCAACGATGCCACAAGGTGCATCGTACGCATCACCATGAGCATGTCCCCGGGAATGCGATCGGCAAGCAGACCTAAACCAGATATGGCGAAAGACGCTGCGCTTGCTCTCTCCGGGAGGATTCCAAGGCTTTGCAGTTTCAGTTTCAACTCCTTCTTCTGTGCGATTGTAATCTTCTGTCCCAAGCCAGCTTGCGTCTCGAGGGAGCGGTTGGTGAAATAGAGAGGAAGCAGCTCAGCTGTGTTGCTATCGATCCCCAAGCTGTTGCAGTGCTTCTTCAAGCCCTCAGCGTCTTGCAATGCCATGGCTTGCCACAGCCCACAGTTGGCGCAGCGACGCTGCTCCGAAAGCTCCCGATACAGACCGTGGTCTAAGATCACTAGGCGAGCTTCCTTACATTCTTTCCCCATCTCCACGAGCAGGTTGCCTGGATGAGGGTCGCAGTGCACATATCCAAACGAAAAGACCATTGTGCCGAAGGCTTGGACAAGCAATCGGGCTGCAGCAGAAGCCACTTGTGCCTCTTGCTCTTCACCTGGGGACATCGCCAGCCTCCTCGACCTCTTCTGTGCAGACTTGACTACATGACTGATAGGAACACCATGCGAAAAATCCATCACCAACAACCTTCGTGTTGACAACCTGCGATGCACTTTCGGTATCCAGATGGAGGATGCCAGGTCCGGGTTGCTCTCGAAAAGCTCTCGGCTGCGATCTGCGTGCTTCGCTTCCTCGCGAAAGTCAAGCTCATGTGAGACATTTTTCTCGAACTCGTCGATGGCCCACGCCATGGAGAAGTTCTCCTGCTTGAAAACATAACTCATAATCCGCTCCAAACAACGAACAATGAAGATGTCACTGGCCACAACAGAATCGATATGGCGATGCTGCACCTTCACGGCAACCTCGAGCCCATCATGTAGCTTCCCACGGTGGACCTGTGCCAAGGAGGCACTTCCCACTGGCTCCACATCAAACTCGACGAATACGTCATGCAAATCCGTCGGCTGCAAGTGGAGCTCGGAGCAAATGACCATCTTCACCTCCTCCCAGTCTCCGGCGGGGGCGCGGTCTTGCAATTGTGCTAGATGCTGTACATATTCGGATGGCACGGCCGGCGCCAGCGTAGCAGCGTGCTGGCCGATTTTCACAAACAGCCCACCGTTGCCCCGGCACATCTGCAGGGCAAGCTTGGCACAGTCCTCGTGGGTTTTGCTCAAGAGCTCCCTGTAAGTATCCGAAGGCTGCGCACTGTGCCACCATGACAAGGTCTTGTAACGAACGGCCATGTTTCCCACGCATGCTGCAGCATGCAGGGCTCTGCGTAACGATAACAACGTCTCCACGGCCAAGCGTCGCCTGTCATCGTCTTTGCACACGAGAGCCGTGCCGCCACAACCCAGCAAGGATACGCGAAGTGCTACCTGCTTTAACCTGGCATATCGCATGGCTTCTCCATCTGGTAGCACGAAAGTCACGTCATGGCTTCAATAGGCGCTCTTTAGTCTCTCTCCTGATTTGCATGATTAGTTTGGCTCACATGACATGTACCTGCTGCAATTAAGATCACGGTCTTGCACGCCAAAGCTATTGGGTTCACGAAACCACAACCCGAGGAAATGGATAGAACCGGCAACGCTGCCTCGCAGCCTTACAAAAGTCCTTTCGCAGAGATATGCAGAGATGCAGACGCTTCTGAGGGTCAGCCCAGAACGAACAGCCCGTTCTTGAAGATGCCAAAAAGTCAATAAGACAGACAGAAAGATATTACAGTACAGCATCTCGGCCCCAAGCACGGAACTTCAGGGAGCTCGCTGCTGGATCACCACAAGGAGCCTGGAGTACGAACGCTTGCGCAAATGTACAAGATAGAACAACAAACAATTTCAAATCTCAGGACAATTCGGAGCAAGTGCATCTACGCGTGTTCGCGTGAATATGCATGCATGCATGTATGTATGCGTGGATGGATGCATGCAGGCCTGCTTGCCTGCATGTCCTGCATGACCGCATGCCTGCACTATAGTAGCAATGTAATCCTGTTGGCGGTCGTTACGATGCTAGAGGATTTGATGTTGCCGTTTTCTCCT